ACCAAACACCATTTTGTACATAAAGAGTGGTTCTACTAAGTTTGCTTTTTAAAAAATGTCTATGCTTACGCAATCAAGGGCAACGACTTGTCAAAGTTAGTGAACTTTACAGTTAAATAATAATATCTTTTTATGAAATTATCGATTTTTAATAAAGCAATATTAGTGCGAAATTTAACTAAAAATATCAAGTCACTTTTAGTTTCAAGAAAAGATTATTTTTTGTATGTGCAAAATGAAACCGCGTAAAACCTTGCACGGCGAAAAGTGCTATGATTCTGACGGACTCTAGCGGCCTTTATCGAAACTACCGTCTCGCGGAGGGACCACAATAATGTTAAATGGACCAGCAGACAGCAATCCTAGAGAATATTTTGTCGTCTTGTAGTTCCAACTAAACTCACCAGGGTCGCAGAAAATTGAAAACAGTTCGAGGTAGGGAACCCCCTTAAACAACTTTTATGTTTTTGTTGAAAATATTAGTCTTATAACGTGACGTAATTTTTTTTCTTCCTAAGTAACTTTAAACTATTCAATGTTAATATTAGGGACATTAGTCTTAATATATTTGGGGATTAATATGATATGTTTGTAATAAAATGTTAAAGACAGCTAAATAAAGTTGTGAGTTACCAAGTAAATAGGGAACAGACTGTTGGCCTTACATTTAAACAAATGACACTTGGTTACTGGGCTTCCCTTATATTCACAACACAATTACAGTAATAATTATATTGTTATATACTAAAACGTAGAAATATAAGGTTGGGGGATTTAAAGGCGCAGAGATAAGATTTAAGAGTTAAGAGAAGTGTATGAACACATAGATATAGTAGCGTTTCTCAAAAGCGAATGGCTAAGATGGGAAGACCATGCGTGAATGTCAAAAGATACTTCAACTGTCAACATTGTATTCTGAGGAGAACCATAAGGTAGACAACCACTTTGAAGACCAGGAATGGCGTGGAAAGACCAAGTAACGAAACGCATCTCCAGACTGGGATCTACATTAGAAGAGGCAGGTGATAGAAGAGAATGGAAGGCCAGAAACCTCTTAAGGTTTCAGTGGCCACGTAGGTAAGATAAGGTACCGTAAGTGATAGTATGCAACGGAAGGTGGTAAGTAGCTAATGTACTTGTAACCAGTGTGCGAATCTGTCGCCAATCTCACTTCACACTGACTTCACATCATCTACAAAATTGAAGTTTTATTGTTAAATTACTAGTATCGGATTTAAAACGCATATCGTGTAGGCCTATAATCCGATGGAAAATATGTGGTGACGTGGCTGTTTAAAAGATGATTTTCACATTAAAACTACCAGAATTTGTCTTTATACGTGTAAACCAACTGCTCTGAATACAGTACAGTTTTAACTGATTACCTGATTCCCGTACTTAGGATAGGTCCACAGCTCATATTGAATAAATTTAAATACATGCACTGGAAGTTGAATTAAAAATGTAATTAGGTCTGTAATACATTATACAATAGAAAATCTCAGGTACCCCACGGTCAAATTAAATACAGCAGAATTGTATATGCACAAGGTGAATTAGAGATCCAAATAGAACCTTTTGGTACTCTCTAATTGACTTGTTTTCTACACCAATGATGTTCCTGTATTCCACAGAGGAGTTCAGTTATCCTTTGGCCTACGTATAAGCACATCACATGGTCAATGGAACATAGTGATTTAAGGAAGATCCAAAAATAAAGTATTGTGATACCCCAAATCAACTTTTTTTGTATACCATTGACGTGCACTTTCCCCATAAAAAGCTCACATATCACAAGGACAATTCATAAATATTTTGTCATTTATATGGATATGGTCAATAAAGGAGATCTAAAAGTAGAGTCTTGATGAATACCGTAATAACATTTTTGATTTATTGATGGCCCTTTAGCAAGTGACACATCTTACGAAGTCAGAAGTATCCCTTGGTCAGTCTAAATAACACATATTCAATGGTTCACGGTCAAAACTAAACACTATCAAAAATACAGCTTTGAGATACTACTCCCTAACCATCGAGTTAAGGTGATTACTACGCCATTGGTGTTTCTTTATCCTAACCGAGAACTCAGGTATCTCAGAGAAGTAAATATACGTGGACATTTAATTTTCAAGTATATGGTCAATTATAGGAGAACCCAGAGTAGTTCCTGGAGGAATCCTCCAATCAAATTGTTTGATACGCTATTGATGTTCTTTTATTCTATCCGAGAACTCAGCTATTTCTTGGTCAATGATACTTGGTCAATTACAGGTGATCAAAAGGAAGAGCCTTGTTTTATACCACTGATGTAACCTTATCCCAACCAATATCACAGTTGTCCGATATCCCAAAGTGGAGCCTCTGAGAACCTCCTGATCAACCTTTGCTACAAACTTTTTGCTTTATTGACGATCCTTTATCTTACCAAAGAACTCAGCTACTAAGCGATCAGTTTTGAGAGAAGTATGAAAGGGAAATCGCCGTGCTATATTCATGTTTACTCTGTGGACAGCTGGCACGGCGGCCGGCCGGTACAACGGCTCTTCGCCGGTATATAAGCCGCGTACCAGACGGCCAGACCAGACCGGCTCCACACACAGGTGAGTACGTACGTGCTGCTTCTTTTACCTTGAGTTCTTTGTGTTAAGTACAGAAAGAAAATCCAATAGATTTATAAGTTCTAACGTGGATTCATCATTGCAGCGAATAAAATAGTGTATATAATTGTGTTACGCGTTCTTGGTGTAATCAGAAAATGTTCGTGTGCATATTCGATTACAAAATTATGTTCGATTTGACATATGATAAAAAATACTATCGCGTTACCGGTAGTTGAATTCTGATTGGACTAATTGGTTCTAAACTTTAATTTTTTAGGTGAACCGATGCTTCTTGGTGTCAATCGAGGTAACTCAGATAGGTTCCTCACTTTAACGGGTTCTTGAGAATTACATTTTTGAAATGGAATATTTTTGTTGAATAAAGTTCAGAAAATAAGGCATGGTCCTATCTATTGTTCACTTAATGTTCAAATCATACTTTGTCTTAAACAATTAGCAGTTATAAAAGCATATTTGAATTTAAATCTAAAATAACTTTTTAGCTAGCATTGAATTAGTTAAATAAACAAGCAAACTATAAAACAAAATGGGGATCAAGAGACAATGTACGGTAGGAATAAAATACGCAGTTAACGGATTTGAAAGTATTGTAATTCAATAAATATTTACGTTGCCAATATAAGGTACACATGTTTTACTAATTGTTACGAAACTATATTGTTGTACTGTTCTACTGTGTTGTTGGGGTTTGGAAACTATATTGTTGAAAGTTTTCTAATGATTATTCATTATTGGTTTGTCATAATAAAGTAATCGTGAAGTTCAAAGAATAGCCAAATATAACCCGAAAGGAAAAGTAACTCAACCATGATTGCAGTTTTCAGTGATTAATTACACTTTCTCATATAGCAAAATAATTATTTATGATTAATCAAGGAGTAAGCTAATGTTTTTTTTTTACGAAACAAAATTTACAACATAAATGCTCTTGTAGATTTAAATAACCTTGCCTCAATTGAACAAATTTAAATGAAGACCCAACCGGAGATGTAGTGGTAATGTGAGATCGGTCTGTAATGTAATTTGGTCCAATCCTATTGTCTTCCAATCATGGGTAGTTCTCGTCCCGGGAATCTTCTCTTTACAAGGAACACGTGAATTTCAGGAGTAATCTATTTTTTAAACACCATTACAAGTTAAGTATAGGTCAATATGGTCACAAAAAAGTTGTAATACTAGATTTACTTGGTACTGTACCTTGAATTATTGAAAAGTCATAGAACAATAAAATCAAATTATTTAAATTTCATTGACGATACGTTTAAAACTGGATTATAAAAACTTGCTGAATGTCTTCAATAATAAATTTTAAAACGAAAGAATGTCTTAAAAGTAAAAATGTAGGTCCAAGTGGGTCGTTAATTAATGTCTTTACACAATGTATCAAAAATTGAAATATTTTGCATTTACTCTATAGGACAACTTAAAAGCGGAATTGTATATAATATAAAACTCTTTAGTCTTGTATGTTAGTTTACTGTTACCGGTGACTCGTGTTGTTACTGGTGCGTGAAAAGCTTATTGATTGGAAACACATCGCATAAAGAAGCTGACTCGATAACAATAGGTTTAATTTACCGTAAAGAGGTTGATCACTGCGTATATCCTAGACTTTTATCTATTTTCTCGAGCTTTGTTCAATATTTGTTTCATGTCTGCAATAAAAGTAGGAGATACAAATATTGTTTTTTGCCTATAAGGACATCAAAATGAAATAAACGGTATCAGCATTCTAACACATACTTTCTCCCATAAGCTCGTCAACAACCTTTAAGCGGTAAGAGTAAATTGCAATAGTTGCAATAACTTTTGAACCGTAATTGTTACAGCAATGGGGTGTTGTACTTTTTTTTAATTATAAGGACCATAACATTTTAATTTTGATCAAAACCAGCTTTTCTCCAAAAATCCGATTTTTTTGTTATTGAAAAGATTCACTTTAACAGCATTGCTGTTTTACTTAACAATACGGGCAACAGACCAATGAGGTTCAATTATTGAGGGAGAAGAAGTGAAATTGTAATGCTTCGAACGTCAACTAATCAGCTGTTTAGACCATTTTAATTGTTAATGATCGGTGCAATTAGTGTTTGGTACAATGATTCGTTGCATCACTGTCAGTGGCAATTAGAGGTTATAAACGAAACCATAACCTCTCATAGAAGTTAAGTAGTGATTGTTAGTAAATAAAAAAAGGTAGTAGGTAAAGGAGTGTACTCAACTCGCGTAACACTATCTTTACGTAATAGTTGCGTAAACTAATATAACATACGAAAAACAGTTTTCTTTGGAAAGCAATCTCTAGATTGAAAATTAACTCTTACAAAAGACATTTTTAACGTATTATTTTTACGATTGGTCCTTCTGTTCCACAGTATGAAGTACCTGAGGACAGTTTTGCTGGTGGTTGCGGCCGCCGCTCTAGCCAGGGCTCAAGTCCCAGCCTTTGGTTGGTGTCCTGACTACCTCACTAAGGCGGACTTCGACATGGAAAAGGTAAAATATCTCCTACTTTGATTATAATAGCCATGTTTAAATCATTGTACACTTAGCACTAGAGGAATTCTTCTGCCGCTTTATAACAAATGACTTAATTTCGTAAAGGTTCTATTAGTGCTAGTAATGTGATTCTGAAAATACGATCGCGTCAATAAAATTCAGGATGGAACTCTAGTTTTTTATCGTTCTTGGCCATCAATTTTTTGAAAACATCAAATTCAAACAAAATTCAGAAGCATGCACTTTTCAATCTTATGTTATCGTACACAGTAAACCTAAGAACACCGGATATAACTATTATTTGGAATGCCATGGTCATAAATCGTTATAAATATATTCTACTTTGTGTTTCTTTGGAACATAAAATTATAAACCAAGCTTAAAAAAGTGAAAACATATGTAATCTTTATTTATTGATGGTAACATGTATACCACACGTATAATTGAATTCAGTTCGTGATTTTGAAAAACCTTTTTTAGCTTAAAAAATGTTTATAAAATATCCAACCTTAAATATTGTTATATATTTAAGTTTCTACTATGAGCCCAAGATTAAAATAACACAACAGAATTTATCAATGGATAAATTAATTAACGTGTGTTTGATTGCGTTTACTTGACGCGCCTGGAAAATCTATCAACGCAATATACATACTGGATCAGTTTTGCATCGTCGGAAATACAGGAGTTGACGTTGCAATAGGCGCATTCAATAAAGTTTTCCTTGACACATGTCAATTAAATAATAACTATCACACATGAAATGTTTCAAAACCTAAGTTACGTATTCGTGTATGTTACGTAGTTATAATACGTATGTTTTGTGTTACACAGTACCTGGGAGTATGGTATGAGGCCGAGAGGTACGTGAACGTACTGGAGGCTGGTAGTCGTTGTGTCAAGACAGAGTACACCATGGCCAAGGACGGGCGCATCCTGGTGTCCAACGAAATACAGAACAGACTGTAAGTACAAAGGTGGAATATAGAACAGAGTATTTTTTTAAACGTTTACTAACTTATTTTTACGTTTATCAGCTGTAGTTGATTATTTCTTGTTTTGCGATCAGCGATACAACAATAGAATCAGCTGATTTGTATTTTATTCAGTACCAACAAACTGTAAACTATCAATATGGAACTGATTGTTTATATTCTAATAATCCTAAATGATTTACAATGACGAATTGTGAACTGCATGTAACTATGTGTCACCAAAATCTAATTGACTTCAAGAGTACAATTGTGACATGATTAACAAACGATATATTTGACAAATAAGTTACATCAAGAAACATGAAGTGTTACATAAAATAACTATTATTTTATATTGGATACTATTGATTTGACCGGTACTAACTTGTAACAATCGATTGAATTTTGAGAAGAACACACAACTTTAGACCAAGTCCAAGTGGAAGTCAAGACTAATTAATTGTATTAATTAATTGTACTAATTAATTGTACATGATGTTGCTGACAAGTTTTGTTTTGTATCAGGACTGGAATCAAACGTATCCTTGCTGGAGAGATTCGCAGCATTGTCAAGGGAACTGAGGCCAAACTGAACGTCAAGTACTCGCAGCTCCCATGTTAGTATACTGCAGTTTTCATGTTTAACAATTTTGTTTAACCACAAAACCAAAGAGAAATGATTTCCTCAGACATTTTAATGATAGTTTTGAAACTATCATAATATGTAAATATGCATTGTTGTCAGTTCAGCTTACTACTGTTCCCGAGTCCAACTTCCTTTGCTTTATACTTTCCATGCAAAAGTCCTGTGAACGGGCCACTGCAAACCGTAAAAGGATAGAAAATGTGTATGTAACAAAACTAATATAAAAACTCTTTGGTATGTAGAATCAAATCGCAACAACTTTTCCGAAGGAGCTGTTTGAACAATTGACATTGAAATTTAAATACATATTTTTATTCAAAACCCAAAACATTAGAATTATAATTTCTTTGTGCATACCAAAAGGCTCCAAATAGTTGAAATTACAAGCCTACATTAAATTACCATACGGATGATTTTCTTTCTAAAACAATGTTAAATTACGTTCTGCTTCATTAAAAATTGTATAGTATATTTTCTAAAATTTACAGTTAAAAGAATACCTATCTTTATAATTTTCAAAATCCATATCGACCGTGTTATAAGATCGAAGTAATTCACTCCTTGATCAGCATTGTACTTGTTATTCAATGATTCATTCGCCTATTGGGTCTGATGATGATTGGAGTGGCCAATCGAAATCGAACACCACTTACCATCTTTCCTATGTATAACCGTTGTAACGTCTTGTGAGTGTTTTTATTTACCTTCCGTTGATCAAATTACTCCAACAGTGTATGCATGTTATGTTTGATGGAAGCGAGAAAGCAAAAATTGTTGCCGTGACAAACACTATTTATTTTCACAAAAACCTTAAAGAATCCTTTAACACGTTATTTATTAAAATGTGCTATACATTCATATAACGTGTTTACGTTGCAGATCCGGTGGAGACCTCGTACACAGTGCTGGACACGGACTACGACAACTACGCTGTCGTCTGGTCATGTTCTGGTCTCGGACTGTTCAACACTCGTAAGTACATCATATACCTCAACCGCAATAGCATGGATAATACTACTGATGATTAAATATACCAGTTCAATTCTTAAGCCTATCTGTATGGATTCCAAATCAGACATAAAACTTTCGATGTTCTATCCAGATCAGATTACACGGTTAACACAGTTTTTAATACTATCGTATTAAGTGAAGTTTTGTAATTCGCTGTCGATAACGAGTTTGAAAAACACACGCAGGACGTATATCTGTTAGTTAAATCTAATCCTTTGCAAGAGTAATTCATTGAAAGATTTCTCTTCTACATACTTCACACATGAATTTTTCAATCATATTTGTCTTGTAACGCATAATGGTGTGTCCGCGTCACAGCATTCAATCATATAAAGTCTAGGGTTCTTTAGACGATCACTTCAACTCAATTGTTCTAATAAATGTTTTGAAATTAAGATATATATAGCGTTTCTATAAAATTTGACTATTGAAAAAATCCAAGAGATCCTATGTCGTATTGTTATCAGGTATTATTTTAGGATGCCTTGGATAAAAATTAGGTGAGAGTTACAAAGCACTTGTTATAGCTTAATCTAACCCCTGGATGCACAATTTTTTACCCCAAGTCTGAAACAAAAGTTTTGAGTTGGTGAATCTTCAACCCCTAGATTATGGAGAGTGAGCTAGTCAAGTGGTAGAGCGCGGGGCTTCGGTCCCTGAGTTCCGTGGTTCAACCCTCACCAACCTGTAACGGTTGGTGATAATGTCACAACCTTTAGGTCTAGCCTGAAGTAATGTAAAAAAAACAATCCCGAGCTAACTCCTAGCGTCCCATGACAAAACTTTAAATGGTTAAGATTTTACCTAACGACTAGTATCACTTAACCTTATTCTTCCCGTTGTTACAGAAAACGCCTGGGTGATGACACGTGAGAGGAACCCCTCTGTAACAACCCTGCAGAAGGCCTACGCCGTCCTCGACAAGTACAAGATCGGCAGGACGTTCTTCGTCAAGACCGACCAGACTGAGTGTCACATCGCCGAGCCAGCCGACGCTGAAAACTCCGTCGACAAGCAGGAAGACGAGGCCGGCAAGTCCGCGCTGGGCGTCGCAGCTGCCGAGGGTGTCGAACCCGTCGCCCCCGCGGTAGAGGTGCCCGCCAAACCAGTAGACAAGGTTGAAGACAATGTCAGGAAGGAAGTCGTAGAGCCTGCCGTAGCTGCCAGCGAGAAGGTTGAAGCCGTCCCTGAGAAAGTTGAAAAAGTGGAAAAGCCCGTTGAAATCGCCAAACCTCACTGAAACCCCCACCGTGATCTTGTCAAATAGCTCTCTTCGCGAGACCGAGTCACCCACCAGCGGTCCCCTGGAGATACGCTTCATTTGAGACTTGTGCACCATTGTGCGCGTTATTTATTGTTAGCTGTTACGAATAAATAGGTTTTAGTTTTACAAGTGTTTGTTTCCAAACCTTTTCTGCAAACCAGCATGATTTCTTACTAGTGAAATCATTTTAAATTTTTATTATTTTTTTGTTATTTTGGCGTTTTGAGTCCTAATAATTTTTATAGGTTACTTACATAACAATTATTTAAATTGTTAAAATGAATTAAATAGTTTCTCATCGATGGTACAAAGAACTGACAAACAATTTCTCTGAAAATAATATTCAAGTATTTGTCATCACTCTGTATACGAAAATAGCCAATTTCCATACAGCTGAGATCATCGAAAATCATCAATTTCCATACGCCAAAAACAAACAAAAAATCTGCTGACTTTTCCTGACAAACATTACTTTCGCTACACAAACAATACTTTGCCTGACATTAACAAAGTTACAACTAAAGTCCCCTTATTTTTTTAAAGTTTGATGAAGTCGTGCTTTTTTCATCGTGATAAAGAGTATCGTTCAATCGAATACTCGTCACGAAAGTTCTAGTAGTGAAATATACTATTTCACAGTTGTAGCTATATCCATACACTTTTATTCTGGAAATACATAGTGTCCAGTAAGTAAAGAGACAAACACCGGTAAATTGTTTTATGATTCAAAATTAAGATAAAATCAAGAATAAAGATTTCCCGCAACACGCTTTGTCAACACCATTTTGTTTTTACATAAACATTTTTTGTTTTAATTTCTCCAACCATTTTCAAATAGACCTATTTAAGAAAAACATTAAGTGGTGTGTGGGTACCAACCCATGGTATTCTTCTTTAAACCAAATAAATTAGCGTATGACTTTCGTCCCTATGCCACTATTGATATTTTGGTCCTGGCATAAAAAACTCCCCCTATTTGATTTTACGTTCATAAAACAGCAAATTACATTTCGAAAATAGTATATTACGTTACTAGTCCTAAAAATAAGTGTTTACCGGACGAGTGTGGTCGTTCCCGTGCGAGACGAAGTCGAGTACGGGATTACCATACGAGTCCGGTACACACATTTTGGACGAGTTACGTACGATAGTTTACGCCATACAGTAGTACTACTAAATCTGTACAAATCCTAATATATTTTCACCAACTAAAGGACTGAAAATCACTAGTCATAACCTCTAGAAAGGTTATGTTTTTGTTTGTAACCACTCATTGCCACCTAAATATAGTATAATCAGCTGATTGATGTCCGGCAAAACTCATTACAGTACAGTAGTACGCAATGAAACCCCATTTGAATAAGCTGGCGGCAAACAGCTGTTTTCTGGACTAAATCCTTGCGTGGGAAGTTCGTCAAAATAATGTAGTGTGGCGTAAAAGCCTTTTTCATCACTCTATACATTCGAAAACATCAATATCTATACAATATATACACAGTCTATATTGAGATCTTCGAAAATCGTCAATTTCCATACACCAAAAACAAATAGTGATCAGCTGACTTTTCCTGACATAAACATTACTTTCGCTAGACAAACAATACTTTGCCTGACATCAACAAAGTTTAAACCGAAGACCCCATGGTTTTTAAGTTTGATGAGGTCGTTTTTTTATCGTGATAAAAAGAATCGTTCAATACTCGTCACGAAAGTCCTAGTGGTGAAATATACTATTTCACAGTTGTAGCTATATCCATATACTTTAACTCTGGAAATACATGGTGTCCAGTAAGTAAACAGACAAACACCGAAAAATTGGTTTATGATTTAAAATAAAGCGAAAATCTAGAAAATCAGTTGACTTTGCCTGACATAGTCTTTACTTTCGCTACACAAACAATGCTTTGTCTGACATCAACAAAGTTACAACTGAAGAAAAATTAATAGATTACGAAATTTCAGATTTTTTTAAAAGTTTGATGAAGTAATTTTTTAATTGTGATAAAAAGTATCGTTTCAATACTTGTCACGAAAGTCCCATTTCGGGGCGAGATAGTGTTTTACATGTTAGTCGAAGACTAGCACTAAGCAGGGCTAGATATATATATATATATCTAGATATACTAGATATATATATATATCTAGCCCTGAGCACTAAGCACTATCGAGCCCCGAAATGGGTCACTTTCGTGACTAATAGTGAAATATACTATTGTCATATTGCAGGGACAACCTATTTTTCAAATACATGCGTTGTGGTGGTAAAGTAGTTTTTTTATTCCTAGGGTGAAAAAGAACTAGCTAGAGTCAAGGACATCACCTTTATAATATTTCTTACTTTTAAAATAAAATTTAAGGATTTCGATCATAGGTCATTCTTGTTCATGTTGTTGTAGGTTGGTTGTTTGTACGAGTAATTCTTGTTCAGTTATAGGCTGGATTGCCATTTAATTTGTTTAATTTGTATATGACAAGATGACAAGTGTAGATCTAAGTCGTAACATACCATATAGTAAATATCTTGGAATCATATGTTCGTTTATAATGGAAGCTATGGAAGCTATTTTGGGAGATAACCTATTGATCCGTTACCGAAATTTAGGCTTCCCACCACTTTTTTGTTTAATGTATGTTGCAGCTGATTGAAGTTTTTGACAAATCTCAGCTGTTGAGCTATGTTTTAATTGTTGGATCAAGGCAAGGCAAAGGGGATAAATTTCTTCCTCTAAAACTGCCTAAATTTTGTTGACAGAGTTTGTTTTATGAATTAGTTAGCTTGAATGCAAAAATGTATAGTTCATCATACCTCACAGCAATCTTGCATTTTTAAACCGTGCTCATTTTGCTACTGCAGCTTCGTTGGAGTTCGTGAGTCTTTTGACTTGAGCTCGTGCCGAAAGAAGTCACTTTAGGCCCTAGAAATGAAATCATTATATTCTCAGTAAACTTTTCTAAACCGGTACAGAATATATATTTGCCTCAGTACAATCAGGACTCATGTAATCGTGATGCATTTGACGCTACACTAAATTATTACAGCACAATGTCAACTTTGTTTTCATCATACTGTCTGGAAAACAGCAATTTTAGTTCTCTAAAATCGTCCGCAAAATCATCGTTTTTGGGAAATTTCAAATAGGGAACAGAAAAAACATATGGTAAATTTTTTGGTTCGCCAACCACACGATATTTTAAGCTATGTTTGTAAACAACAGAAATGTAAACATTGATGCCGACTTTATATAACCCCATTATGTGGTCTAATTCTGTAACGATTAGAAGGTTATTTTCACAGTATGATGAAAATAGTTGCCCATCACACGGAACAAAAGTGTCTTTTTGGTAAAAAAAAAACCACTTCGCTCCTAGTGATGAAATTACGACAGTTATTTTTTAAACTAGCCTTTTCAGTTCAGTTCTTAGAATTAACAGATTCACTTTACAGCATGCATTGTCTTTTTACTTTACAACACTAGTAACGGACCAATAAGGTTCAAGGACTGAGAGAAATAAAGTAAAATGTTAATGCTTCAAATATCAACTTATCAGCTTTTAAGATCAATTCAATTAATGAGTGATTGGTACAACGAGTCGTTGCATCAGTGGCGATGAGAGGTTTGAAAACATAGCCTCTCTTAGAAGTTATGAGTAGTAATTTTTAGTAATTAAATACTGTCTTAGGTAAAGTAGTGTACGCAACTTGCGTAAATTTTCTTTACATGATCGTTGCGTAAACTACCATTTAAAGTTGTCTACTACAATTATTGTTACTGATAAACATCCTCTTAACACCCTGAAGTGTAACTGAAACTGCTCAACGAAAATATCCTACCTTGTTATTTTTAACATTTTACGCTTACACGAGTACTGTAATACAAGACGCTATTAAATCCAATGATTGAGCTTTTTGCGGTTTTGTCTCTTTGCTCGTCTAGCTCTCTACAGAGAGTTGGGTCGCGGTGGAAAGGTACCCGGTGAAATGCTCTTCCTGAGCCTTCTGACCCACAATCCTCCGTTAGTCGTTCTCCGCGCGCACCCGCACCCGCACCCGCACCCGCACCCAAGGTAGTACTATCCTTTGTCTTTAGATCTATGTTTAGCATTGTAGTTACAATATAAGATTTTCCACTCAGAAAAAGCTAAAATGTGAACACAAGTTACTAACTCTATCTAAACATTAAGAGAGCTCTAATGTTCGAGCGTGTTATGAAATTAACATTTACTTTTAAGATGCTTCATGTTTAAAGTGTTTAGTACTTACTTTAAGAGCAAACCCGAGAACCGATCTGATTTGTATTATTTTACCAAAAAACCAATTGGGAAATTTGTTTTTACTTGTGAAATAGACAAGTTTGTTGTTAAATTTATGAATATTATGACGCCAATGTCAATAAAACTAGATCTTAAAAGAACAATACAAGTACTAATAAAGGTTTCATAGACAATTTTAATTAAGTTCCATTTTATATACTCAAAATCTTCCATTTTAGGGTTAGTTGTTCTTCAATATTTTTGGGATAACAAACACACTAGAGGTAATTAGGATTACCCCTTTACACGTTTATAAGAAGTACAATGTTTACTCTACTTTTGTAACACTTTTGTGAAAAGTGATGGGATTTTGAATCTTTTTCCGTACCCAGTAAGAAATTAACATTTACATTCAAAACGTGTTATGTCATGAAAAACTATATCGGTGCTATGGCCTAGTGGATGGTTAATTTAGTAAGAAATTCGTTTAATTTATTCACGTTTTGTTATGAATCAAGTCGGTATGCAATAACACTGGATGTAACTAAATACAGTAGTTAGTATCATCGGTACGGGTGTTTTCAGTAGTGATAGTTAATTACAAATCCGGTAATCGATATAAATTATCCTATGTAAAAACAATAAACCATAATCTTATATGATACGAGTATTTAGTATACACGACACAGGGAAGGTAAGTGATACATTATACTAAATTAGATATTGAGAAAAAATCATTTGTTTTCGTTCGAATCCGGTAATTGACGACAACAATCCTAACATAAAGATTTGGTAATTGAAATTGACAATATCCACAGTCAGCAAGTAATTGATATTGTCGATACCCAGTAATTATATCGATATTGTCAGACAGATCCGGTAATTGTACCCAGAGTACTTGACCTTGATATGTAGGACCTCAACCACAACCAGGACCCGGTCTTGTGGTAGAAAGCTTCGGGCTTATCACTTTCACCGTCTTATCATGACCTCGGGCAAGGTCGGGGCCGCGGCAATGGGTCTTGTCAAAAATCTTATACTTTTGAAGTTTGAAAATATTAGATTGGGTGACAACGAATCTGTGTAAGATCAGTAACATGGGTGTATTATTTTTTCATAATTCCTCGACACACTATGTATTCTTTGTTTTAAGCTACTGTTTGGTGGCGAAGAACTTATGTTTTCATGATTTCGCGCACAATTTCCGTCATTGATTAACCGCGTTTCGCAAGGTTTGTGATTTGGGTGAGGAAGCGGAAGGGGATTAACAAGATGTTCAAGAGGATTGGTTGTGTGTTGACAAGATCATAACAATACTACACAAACCACATTTTTGACTGATTTCATTGTTTATTGTTTTTAGCAATTGTGTTTCCAGTCGCTTTTTTGTTTGGGTATGATATTGTTGTGGTCTAAATTCATTCCCACATCAAGCATGGGGCAGATTCTACATACCAGATAGTTGTGAAGTTTATGTTTTACTACAGATAAGCAATTTCAGCAATGACCCAATGAACATGGACTATTCGTATGAAGACTCAAAATCAAGCTAAACACTTTGTGAGAACTCCCACTCATGGTTATGTGGAGTAAAGACTAAATTACTACCTCAATATGAAAGACCTTATAACTGAAATTAAGTTATTTACTATACGATACTAGGTCTAATTGTTTTCCAATGCAAAATATTATAGTTAAGGAATTATGAGTCAAAAAAGGTTCTTTTAAACCTATATTAAAACACACATTAGGTTTTTGACACAATGCACTGGTTTTGACTGTGAATGTATTTATTTTCCAGACCAATATGCTGTTACTAAGCTGTGTCTTGCTGTCGCTAGCTCACCTGGCTACAGCCCAAGTACCGTTCCTGGGTCCCTGCAGCGCAGTGTCTACTGTGGAGAACTTCACTCTATCAAGGGTAATGACAGTAGTCAGCTGATTCTCAAATTATTTCTTTTTATCAATACTACTCAGCTGGAGATACAAGAGGTAGCACTGAATGAGAGAATTGCGAGACAGTTGTACTAACCAAACAATTCAAACTAAATCGTGGGCCAATGAGCTGATTCCCCAAGTTGGTACCAACCTAACAAAATTAATAGCATTTTATAGCAGAGTTGCCTTGTCATTACTACCTAAAAAATTTTTCTAGCTCAGTGATTAATACCAATGTGAATTCATTATTCTCTAGTTGTAAACAATGAGCAAAGCGAGTGTTTATAACGTATTGCAATCTTGACACATACAAGTTATGAGTATACTTTTAGGATGAGTTGTGATTTTATAAAATGCTTAACCGATAGAGTTAGATTACAATTTATTTGGTGTTTCGTTTTGACGAGTACAGTCATTAACATACAGTTGCTTATGCTCTCAGTCTATACATTATTTTGGAAAAGATTGATAAGTTAAACATCATTATCAGTTATTGAGATGGGTACAACACCTAGGTGCGCGTAATCCAAATATGAGTGAAGAATGAGAGTAGAATGGAGTGTATGATCTTTGTAGCTTTGTTACTGACTAAGATCAGCTGTTTCATTAGCCAGGATTGTTTATTCAAAGCCTAATGATCAGGGGCAGCTAGTAAAAGGGCTTTTATACGGTTGGTTTGTTTGGACAAATAAAAAAATGTTTAAAATAGTTATCTTAACAGTGATGATCCCAGATGGATGGTTAGGGGGATGGACCCCTCCGAAAAATATCAGGGTGGACCCACTGCCAAAATAGTGTGAATAAATTAAATACTATGTTTGGTTTTACAATGTAATTTTTTATGATCTGTATAAAACAATACAACATTTTAAGGTTGCAATGTAACTCAAATACACGTTTTAGGCTTAACATTTTACCGGGTAGGAGGGGTATCCCCCCTCAAATTAACCCCTGAGGCCACCACTGGTTCTAGATCCATTCAATTTTAATCAGTAAACAAATCCTGTTTATAAATAATTTGTGAAGACAGAGAATGAACGTCATTATGCAGTATTTTGGATCAACATTTTTTCAGAAAGATTTATAGAACAAACAAAAATCATGTTTATGGGGGTACTGAATGACCTATTATCTGCTTCTATGATGGAGAATTTGTTAGCCTACCGATGCTAAAGAATATTTTTGTATAGTACCGTGAAATTTCGGATTAAGAAAATGAGTCGAAACCGGTAGAAAGTGGTTTTACCAAGCCACCGGGAAAGTAAGAGTGATCTGTCAAAAATCTCTAACTCTCTCAGAAATAGATTTTACAGTTATAAAGACACAACTTGAAATAGCTTACTTTCTACAATGGCGATTCTCACATTTGAATGACAAATAACAAACGTTCAATTCGTTCAAAGTCGACAAAGTTTAAGGCAAGTTGAAAGGGTAATTTCTTCGTGGTTTAGGCACTGTAGGCCTTCTATACCTGAATGGAATTATTAAACCAGTATTTGCAGTATTGAACAAAAAAATAGGTTTTATAGTTCTCTGAAGACAGGTATGTAACAAACGTTGGGCTGTGACTGAACAAAAGACGAAGAGAAAACGAAAAAAAATTGTAGAAATTAATACAATATGAAAATAGCAGTAAGATTTGTTCATTTTTCGTTTACAGAGGTGCCCATCCCCCCCAAACCCAGTGGCGCAATCCCCCCCCCCCATTTATGCTGCTCTTTATTTCAACCTACCCTCCCCCCCTCCAATTTACCTGGCAATTTCCCCTTTACCACATAAAACGAGCATTTAAAGTATTTAGTAAACTTGAGGTAAAGAAAATCAAACTTGCTGATAATCAAAATTAAATGTTTATTAGGAAACGTCATTTAACAATACAAAGTTATATCTAATTAATGGACGAATTATAAGTTTTTCAATTTACAATTATTAGAATCTGTATTGTCAGCCAACACGCGCTCAGTATTAAAGGCAACGTCTTCAAAACGTTCAACACTATACTCAGTGAATTACTGTACTCCAACACAGTACTGTAACTGTACAATATATTTAGGTGGTGTAAATTATTGGGCTTAAGAATTCAAATAACTTTAATTGCACGAATAGTAAAAAGTATCTTGTTTCAAAATTAGGTCACTAAATAGGGCAGACTTACGAGGCGTTGTTTGCCACTCCCAGGCTGCCTTCTACAATAATCGCCGGGCAAAATACCCACAATACAAGCACCACAAAAGGTTTTGTGACGAGGTATGGTAATCTTATAACTCATTTTAATAGCCCCAGGTTTGCGTTTTATGACTAACAATGGTAGTGTTTTGGCGGTTCTTTAACTCCACCATCGTTAGGCTTACAAAAGGATCCACTTTTGGAGGTTTCTTCAGAATATGTTACAAACATTAAACAAAAACACGAAACGATAACAGATAGGCATATCAATTCAAGGGGGTACATTGCCGCGGGCAGAACTGGACGTAAAGTGAATCAGGTTATGGTGGGCCGACGTGGTCTCTGGATTGTCGTCTGTGCTATCTACAACGATCACGGTTATCTACAGCTTATATTGGACTAATTGTAGTGTAGTGACGGAGGAGCAGGAGAGTGTTGAAAATATAAAGGGATTCATAATTGAGTATTCCACTCAAAATTATTGACAACAATAACCTAATATTAATATTAGTATGCTGGATATAAATGATGTCCTCAAAATTCTACATTACTGCGTGAAAGGAAATTTATTAATTACTTTGGAAGAGTTTGAAATATCTAAATACATAATACTAGGGACAACACACAAATGTTTAATGAAAACATTCGATTAAATATGAATCCAATTATATTTTCAACACTCTTCTCAGTCACTTTCACTACAATAGTCCAATATCAGCTGTTGAAAACGCATACGACAATCCAGAGACCACGTCGCCACGTCGGTCCATCATAACCTTATCCTGATTCAGTTTACTTCCAGTCTTGCCGAAGGCAATGTACACGCTTGAATTGATGGCCTATCTCCTATCTGTAATCATTTTGCGGTAGTGTTATATAGTCAATGGTTAAATTATCGTAACTTACTCTGACTACACCTCCAGAAGTGGATATTTTTGTAAACCTGACGATCGTTGAGTTAAACAACCGCTAAAACATATGTAGCAAGTAAAATTTGACCCTACCGTACATGTTAAGGATTGTCTAACAAGATGCGTTTTTACCATTCTTAGAAGCAATCTTAATTACGAATGGCAAAATGTTCTTGGTGTTGATAGTGAACTACCGTATTTAGAAAAACTTTTTTCGGGCTGCTTATACAAAATTATTCATTCATTATGACAGCTAGCACAAAAATATCCCCCCCAAAATCCCCTTAAAAAAGCCCCCCCCCAAAAATTCCTGTGGCGCAAACGCGCCACAGTACCCCCCCTCTGGGCACCCCTGTTCGTTTATGACCGTAGAGCGAAAAAGATTTGCAATTGTTAAAACGACTACCATTTTGGTAATTATATCGACCTCCGGACCTCACGCGAAATTAAAAATTTTTTTTTCCAAAATGTTCGAAATTTCACGCTGATTTCAAAAATGATTGTCGTTTTTTTCGGAAACGTCCCGTTTTCCCAGAAAATGGGAAAAACGGGAAAAATATTTTTTTCCTCAAAACCCATGTTGTGGGTACTAAAATTGTGCGGAATTTCCTCCTGAACAAGAATATGTAAATTTTATTACGATCGGACCACTATTAAGTAAAATATCACCGAAAAAACGGGAAAACGGGGAAATTTTTCTTTGCTTAAAACCCATGTTGTAGGTACTCCTGAACAAGAATATGTAGTTTTTATTACTATCGCTTTTAAGTAAAACATCACCGGACAGGTTACCTAACCTAACATAACCTAACTTAGGTTTAGATTAGGTTAGGTTAGGTTAGGATAGGTTAGTTTAGGATAGGTTAGGTTAATTTAGGATAGGTAAGGTTGGTTTAGGTTAGGTTGAGTTTCGTTAGGTTAGGTTAAGTTTGGTTAAGTTAGGTTAGGTTAGTTTAGGTTAGGTTAGTTTAGGTTAGGTTAGGTTAGGTTAGGTTAGTTAGGTTAGGTTGGTTTAGGTTAGTTTGAGTTTCGTTAGGTTAGGTAAGGTTAAGTTTGGTTAGGTTAGTTTGGTTAGATTAGGTTAGTTTAGGTTAGTTTACTTACAATACTCATGTTATTGATAAACTAACCCAACCTAACCTAACTTAGGAACTTAGGTTAGGTTAGGATAGGTTAGTTTAGGTTAGGATAGTTTAGGTTAGGTTAATTTAGGTTAAGTTTGGTTAGGTTAGGTTAGTTTAGGTTAGTTTACTTACAATAGGTACTCATGTTATTGATAAACTAACCTAACCTAAGTTCCTAAGTTAGGTTAGGTTAAGTTAGGTTACACTAAACTAACCTAACCTAACCTAACCTAAACTAACCTAACCTAACTTAACCTAACCTAACGAAACTCAACCTAACCTAAACCAACTTAACCTAACCTAACTTAACCTAACCTAACTAACCTAACCTAACCTAACCTAACCTAAACTAACCTAACCTAAACTAACCTAACCTAACTTAACCAAACTTAACCTAACCTAACGAAACTCAACCTAACCTAAACCAACCTTACCTATCCTAAATTAACCTAACCTATCCTAAACTAACCTATCCTAACCTAACCTAACCTAATCTAAACCTAAGTTAGGTTATGTTAGGTTAGGTAACCTGTCCGGTGATGTTTTACTTAAAAGCGATAGTAATAAAAACTACATATTCTTGTTCAGGAGTACCTACAACATGGGTTTTAAGCAAAGAAAAATTTCCCCGTTTTCCCGTTTTTTCGGTGATATTATACTTAATAGTGGTCCGATCGTAATAAAATTTACATATTCTTGTTCAGGAGGAAATTCCGCACAATTTGAGTACCCACCACATGGGTTTTGAGCAAAAAAATATGTTTCCCGTTTTTCCCATTTTC